GTATCTCCAATACCATAGCGGGAATAAATGTCGCCACTTCTTACCCATTTAAGTCAAGAGTAAATAAATGCTCATCTCACGCATGCACATAAAACCACTGAGACTATATCACTATCCTCAGTGATTTATCCTCAAGCATGCAGTTTTCACCTTAGGAGTTTTGGGGGCAAAACAGTGCAAATGATCTTCACAGTCAATGTCAAAGATATCATTTATAACCAACACTTCCCAATACTTATCATTCCCAAGACTCATCATTCCCATCACTCATTGAGCCGATTATCTGGACTTAAAAAAAAACTAAAACAGTAATGTACATAAGGCTTTTATTTAATTACACATTAGCATACCAAATATATAGTAGGGCTTAGAAAAAAACTGCTGAAGTCAAGGCTGGCAGCACTAACATTAATCAAAGTTGTAAAAAGCATTCTTAAGGTTACAATAATCGATATCACAGTTAAAAATGGCTTCTATAGTATGGGTATACTCTCGGTTAGTCTATGTGCCACTCTCATACCATTCCTTATACCTGCTCGAGAATAATATTCAGCACTTCCTTCGGTAAACTAACCACAATGGTCCATAATTTCCCTCGGGTCAACGTCTGGATCCGATAGAGCCAGAGTCGAGGTGCACCCACTTCTGAAACTATGTGGGGTTTCACTCTGATACAGACCCAAAGTGGACAAATACAAACAAGGACGGTACCAGAATCTGACACAATCCGAAACAGATAACCATTCGATAAATTGACATCCATGAGCCTACAGGTACTCAAATACAATTCAATAACATATATAGACAGGACAAATGAGCTTATCCTCACAACGTTTAATAACAAATTGGTTTTTCTTCACCTTTTCCCAAAAGTATGATTGAAAACGAAACCGGATCCATGGTCTAGGCTTCTTGTTTCCTGGGAAACAACCATTGCAAGATCACCTGCTTGATAACCCATGAAAAATTTAAGCTTTAACCAAGCTTGATCACGCAACAGAGCGAATCTTTCTTTTAGTGTTAAATCCGGTTGAGACAACTGGGCTTTTATATAATTCGCAATACGCCAAACTTTTCGAAGAAAAATAGGTTTGACCAGTTTAGGAAGAACATGACTACGAGCCTGTTCATCACGTAATAATTTTAAATAACCTTTTATTAAAGGTGAGCACACATAGTTACCATGACAAGAGACCGAATCCCAATGTTTCCCGAAACCATGCTGGTGGAAAATAACTGAAAGGGTTTAAATGAGGCCTTCAACCGTACCAATACAAAGCCTTGTCGGACAAGCGCAGCTCTTAATATTATTATCACCCAAATGTCTACAATCAAGATTATGAATTTTTGTTTTACCAAAAGAATCCTTCCAAATAAGAAATTTACTCACATCTTCTGGCAAGCAGGAAGCCAGAGAGGACAAATAGGGAAGCTGGGAAAGGAAACGGCCAAATAAATGTAAAATAACCTGTTGTCTTTTAAACGCAATTGCTTGTGGGGATCTATTATCTAACTCTAGTATTCTCTCGGAAATCTTCTCCAATTTAACAACAACTTCTGAAAATAGAACAAGCTATTTAAAACACAATCTGTAAGCAGATTATAGTGACCACATTAATTGACGAGTATCCCTATGAAATCCCTTCTTAGAGGGAAACTCCAGGATACTGCACTCTCCAACGGAGCCCAAAAGTACATTCAAAAACACATGAGTATGCAATAATGGGTCCAAATGGGAACTGGGTAGAAGCTTGGAACCACAAACGTGCATGATTCGACCCTTTCATCCCTCAGAAGACACAACTGGAAAAATAAGGAAGGGGGGGGGGGAAACATAGAATAAGATCAACAACGCCAAAAAATCAACAGAATGTGGGCCCATGCATTCCCAGATGATTTCGTATCCGAATAATCTAATTTACGGGAAAGGGAATCAGCCTGATTTTCTTTCGACGGTATATAATTCCTTCTCAAATCAATATTCAGCCCCATGACCATTCGAAACATTTCTTTCGTTAACTCATTCAAAACCCTATCCTGAACACCTTGATTGTCTCAAGCATGAATAACTGACATATTATCCGTAGAAACATCCACACAGCTATCCCTGAGTTCGGAAGTCAAGGAGCGAAAAGATTCTAGGACCGCTGCAGCCTCTTTTGAGAGTTTGGGTCGTGCATCATCCGCCTTGAAATAGTCGCCTAATTCAAAAATATCGCAACCCAATAAATCATTTCTAAAAATAGCACCATGTCTGAAATTTGATGCATCAGTTAACATAACCACTTGACGATGGGACTCCCGGCACCTTTTGGAATGTCCCTCCCAATTGTCCCAAAACCTTCAATGCTGCAGCTCAGCCCGCAGTTCGCTTCCAATAGTTACCATTGAACTAGTTTTCTTGTAAAAAGATATTCCCAAGTTTATCTCTCTGCAAAATAACCTGGAAATGGCCAAGGACATGGAAATACATTTCCAACTAAATCTTTGTAAAGTTTTTATCCCAACACGTTCTACGGACAAAGTAAACTCTCTGAGCTCAATAAATGAATTTCTTTTTTCCAGTGGCAAAATATAAGCCTCTTTCACCGAATCCACAAAGAATCCCAAGAATTTAATACATTTAACAGGTGTGAGAACGCCTTTCCTAATTAACAATGTATAACCCAACCTTGTCATTAACTCTCTCATTGAGTAAACTACCACTCTTAGTTGTGATTCTTGGCTTCTCAATAAACTCCTGCCTCCTGAGGCGCGTCATCGTCATCAATATATTGAATCGTTCTAACCCAGAAACTATGACAATAAGAGATAAAGTAGTGTACGACATAATCCACCCTCCGAATTGCATCCCAAAATATACGTCTGAGATGACTCGGACAACCGGACATGATCAAAACCCGATTTTTCATCAAAGGATACCATAAAGGCTTTCCTATCAATTAATCGATGCACATCTCTTAAAGCGTCTAATTGGAAAGGTAAATCCTTGATCCACATATTAAAAAAACCTTCATCATGGCAAAGACGAGGCTTCAAAGTTTCTGCCGTCAAAGGCATAATAATTTTGGGTACGGGACATGAACCAACTCTACCCCAGACACGGATACATCCACTATGAATCCTTTCCTTTAATTCATCACAAATAAAAATGTCGAAGTATTTACAAATGGAAGAATTTTCAAAGATACGACTCGGTGGGGTATCAGAATCATAGGGTCTGCCCTTAAAATTAACCTTAAAATGTCTAAAGAAATCAAAAATATTCACCCCGTCCGCCAGCCAAGACCTTACGTTACTCGCAGTTTCAGGGGGAACCTTGTCTAACAAAGTCCCCAGTGGCTTAAATTATTGTGCAGGTTCCCAGCTAGAAAATGATCTGGATTCAAAATTGGAAGGGAGTCCATCTCAAAAAGCTACTTTGTTTTCTAAAAGCTGCTCCACCTCTGGGTGTTTTATCAAACAGCAGGTTAAAGGAGATAGTTCCTCGGATTTGTCCCCGGAAACCGTAATCCACCTATGATCGTTTCGTTCTCAACTTTTGATGGATCAAAGCCAATATACTCCCATGAGGGAATGATGAAATCAAAACTGACATCCTGTAGAAAGAATTAGCGTACAAATATAGCTTGCGGATTCTCTAGAGGTCACAATTTTTTTCCGATTTTAAAAACTGTTTAAATACATCACCATTCCACCATAATGAAGGGTGAATTCGATTTTCGGGAAAATCGAAATGGAACTGCCTGACAAAATGGCCGCTCTTTGTACGCAAATTGTGTAGAAGTGTATAATATGAGGTTGTGGACCCTCTAGAGGTCACAATTTTTGTCCCCCGCCTTTCGAAGAAAGCAGGGGATTATTAAAATGGGTTCGTCTGTCTGTCTGTCCGTCCGTCCATCCGTCTGTCCGTCACACTTTTTGGGACACAATAACTCTCTTTCTAATTGAGCTAGAATGTTCAAACTTGGTGTAGGTGTTTATTAGGTGAATGCCTTGACGGAGTTCGAAGATGAGCATTTTCTGCTTAGGGTAAGCAGAGATAAGTAATTTGATTGGTTGATGCTTTGGGACACGATAACTTTAGTTCTAATTAAGTGAGAGTGATGAAACTTGGTGTATAGTTTCATTACATCAATGCCTTGACTAAGTCTGATAATGAGCATTTTCTGCTCAGGGTAAGCAGAGTGATAAGCAATTTGATTGATCGAGACTTTGGAACACAATAACTCTCCTTCTAATTGAGGTAGAATGTTCAAACTTGGTGTAGGTGTCTATTAGGTGAATGTTTAAACTTGATGTAGATGTTCATTAGGTGAATGTTTAAACTTGATGTAGATGTTCATTAGGTAAATGTCTTGACTGAGTTCAATGATTAACATTTCGAGCTGACGATAAGCAGAGCTAATCGATTTATTTGTCGATGGTTTGGGACAAGATAATCTTGATTCTATCTGATAGAGATTGGTGAAACTGATTGTATGGTTTGATTGCTCGATACTTTTGAAAAAAATAAATGTGTGATTAATTAATATGTGTCATCTTTTTATTTTGGAATTTCGGTGGGGGACATCAGCCTCACTGTTGGCTTGTTATCTTTATATCCCAAAGATCTCAGCCCCTTTTGATATTTGCACATTTCAGGCCATAACTTTCTGGATTATTGCCCCTGATTGTACAAAAAATCGTGTTTGTTTTTAGCTTGTTCTCTATCCATCTCTTGCAAAATGTTGGCGTATCCTGCCTGGCAGCCACTGGTTCATCAATTGGTAGTCTTTAATCAAATGGCTTGCAGAGTCGCAAAAATGACACTGCATGCTATTCTTAGGGCAACTAGCCCTTCCAAAAAACCTGGACTAGGTTAATAACCCAGAAAACAGAATCCTTGAAAAGGAGGGAAAAACGTGGAGGGAGGTGGAAATATATTAGACATAGGGGACTGTGGCCTGGATTCGACGTCTTTCCGTTCACCATCAGTCGATTTAGTTAGATCAGTCAACTTTTCCTTTATGCACTTTGCCAAAGCTTTTGAGACCTTATCGTCAGCAGATCCTCCCAAAACCGAAAGACACAAAGTTGGCAAGTTGATTTCCCCCTGATGTCTGGATGCCTGCCTGGCAAGTTCCTCCAAAATATCCCGATCTCCATGTCTGTAAGATCTTGCAAGACTTGCGAGCTCATCAAGGGTCAGTAGAATTAGAGATTCAGAGGGATCATTTTGGGTGGCTAAGAACCTTACTTTAGTCTTAAGCCGATCGATACTCTGAGCTTGTGACTTTTCCACCTCATCACACCTCTTCTTCGGCTTGACTTGCTCATCTTGGTTCTCTAAGGTCCATTTACCATAACCACTAGTACTAGCTTGAAAAACAAAACTAAGGAGGCACATATCAAAGAGGCACAAGATCCCATAACAGTAGAAAACCCACCTGAGGTTCACTCAAAATCTGTCCTTTTAGTTGACCAACTTCGTTGGCATATATAATTGCGTGATCCTTAAACGAGTCTGTATTGTATTTCCTAAAAATTTAAGAAATGAGTTTGTGAAAACTGGAAAATGCCAAACGAAGAAATAGTCTACGTAAAACTAAGTCTTGAGGCTAAAAACCAATACAAAAGTTGAACTAACATGAAAATCGACATTTTCTTTTCTTTCACCCAATTGAAGTCTGGCTAATTAGCCAACATTGGTTGCTCCTTCTCTTATTCATCTCACTAAGGAAATAAGGTTAATTCCCTTCAAGGAATGTCTTTTTTTTTCAACACTGTGACCACCATGATATGTAATTCTATTTGATAATTTATGCGAAATTGTATTAGATGAATATAAGTGCACGAGAGGACATGAATTATAATTTGATAAATACATATGTTTTATTTCTATTCTCCATTGTCTATATATTAGTTATGGTATGAGTTTATTTAAAACGCAAATTAAGTTGTTCGTGAAATATTGTGAGAATAACAGGAAAGGGGGGTCCGTGCTGATATGATACATGAATTAAACTATAGGTTAATAAACACATTTGTCATTGTCAGAAATAAAATGTGTCTGTTAACTAACTTTGGTAATGAGTCCCTGTTGTATCGGAAAGTTACCATTTCATATTTGGCATGAGTGACCAATCACATTATTAATTACATCATAAATAGCCAATAGAATAATTAATGGGTGTGAATCTAAGAATATATAATTAAAAGAATGTGCGCTCTAGGGTAGACAGCCATGTAGTTCTCTTAGGGAGAAGATGTAGGAATTTCCATCAGCAGACTCACCGAGTCTGCATGAGAGCGGGTTAGAGAGAATGGCTTTATTTTCTTGTAACGTGTAGCTGTGCTTAATATAAAATGTAGAAATGAAATGTGGTATTGTTGTTACTGTGTGTAACCATAAACTGAATGAGTGGCAGAATAAATACACAATATTTAAAGTGGAGTCCTAAGAAGAAAATAAGAAACAAATGCGGCCAGAGACAATACTAGACGATCATGGGCTTTTCCAGAATATGTAGTAAGAAACGATGCATGGGTTATAAGCCGGATGTGGCGACCGATTTTTATGGTTGTCAGCTCTCCACGTCCGACAGACGACCCATAGTACTACAGATAACTAAGGGAAAACCAAAACAAAACAACGTTCTAAATATCGATGGCTAAAATTTCAACAATAGAACCGGTAATGCAAATCACAAAGACACAATAACACAAGCGAGAAAATCTCATCCCGATGGACCTTAAGATCACAAGTTACACAGTCAGGGGCAGACGCAAAATAATCAGTTAGGGGGCCCGCGGTGTCAATAATTATTCTTGGCGCATATCTGGACCCAAATATAACATGTAATTTCATTTGCGACATCTTTATAGAGCAGTAAAACTTAAGAATTTGCACATTTCAAAGGAACAGAAAAATAAAAGAATAAATCGATTATTATGGTAAGCAGAGATAAGCAATTTGATTGGTTGATGCTTTTGAGCACGATAACTTTGGTTATAATTAAGTGAAAGCTATGAAACTCTGAGTATAGATTCATTATATCATTACCTTGACTAAGTTTGATGAAAATTTTCTGCTTAAGCTAAAGAGCAACAAGCAGTTTGATTGATCAAGACTTTGTAACATAACAACTCTGCTTTTAATTGAGGTAGAATGTTTAAACTTGATGTAGATGTTCATTATGTGAATGTCATGAATAAGTTCAATGATTAACATTTCGAGCGAAAGCTAAGCAGAGCTAATCCATTTCATTGGTCGATGCTTTGTGACACAATAACATTGATTCAAACTGATGGAGAGTGATGAAACTTAGTGTATAGTTTCACTACCAGGTACTTCAAAACCTTGACTGAGTTTGATCTTAAACATTTTATGCTTAGACTAAATATAGATTATCAGTTTGATTGCTTAATACTTTTGAAAAAGATAAATGTGCAATTAGTCAATGTGTCACCTATTTATTTTGGGATTTCGGCGGGGGACATCAGCCTCATTGTTGACTTTTTGGATAAAGATGGCAACTGTTGATTTTGGTGAATGTCTCAACCCCCAGGGGAGGCAGAGCTATGCCCAATTTTTGTGTTACAGGCAGCAATTCTGATTGGATTATCTTGGAACTTTTTATACCCTAAGGACAGTAACTATTGATTTTAGTGCATGATCCGACCCCTGCTTGGGTGGTGCCAGACCCACTTCTTATACGCCCACATTTTCATGTGTACGTAGATTGTTTGTGGACACTCTACAGGTCACAATTGCCAGACAAAATGGACGCCTCTCATACACAAATAGTGTAAATATACGGTATATCAAGGTTGTGGACCCTCTAGAGGCCACAATTATGATCTGATTTTGATGAAACCTGAAATACATCTTATAACCCAAAGGTCTTTTTTTCCTTTTGTTATGCTTGCATATTGGATCATAACTTCCTTGATTGTACGAAAAATTGCGTTTTTAGTTTGCGGTCCCTCTAGAGGTCACAATTTTTATCCGATTTAAAAAAACATTTGAATATATTACACTTATGATGGTTGAGTTCGAAATTCGTAAAAATCGGACCAAAACTGCTGGACAAAATGGCTGTCCCTCCTACCCAAATATTGTAAATATATGGTATATCAAGATTTTGATGAAACTTGAAATACATGTTTATAACCCAAAGATCTTGGTTCCTTTCGATATTCAGGTATATCGGATCGTAACTTCCTGAATTATCGTCCTGGATTTACAAAAAATCATGTTTTTAGCTTGTGGTCCCTCTAGAGAACACAATTTTGATCCGATTTTGATGAACCTTGAAATTCATGTTAATAACCCAAAGATCTTGGTTCCTTTCGATATTCACGCATATCGGATCGTAACTTCCTGAATTACGGCCCTTGATTGTGGTCCCTCTAGAGGTAACAATTTTTATCTGATTTCAAAAATTGTCTGAATATATCATCGTTACACCTTGTACGCAAATAGTGTAAAATTATGTAATACCAAGGTTGACTCTCTAGAAGTCACAATTTTTATCTGATTTTGATGAAACTTAAAATATAGCTTTATGTTACACCTTGTACGCAAATAGTGTAAAATTATGTAATACCAAGGTTGACTCTCTAGAAGTCACAATTTTTATCTGATTTTGATGAAACTTAAAATATAGCTTTATGTCCCAAATATCTCAGTCCATTTCGATATTCGTGCATTTCAGACTATAACTGGATTATGACCCCTGATTGCATGAACAATAGGATTTTTTATACGCCCACATTTTCATGTGGACGTATATTGTCGTCGCCCATGTCCGTCCGTCCACAATTGTTTCTGAACACTCTACAGGTCACAGTTTTTATCCAATTTCAATGAAACTTGAAATATAGGTTTATCACCCTAAGATCTCAGTTCCTTTCGATATTGGCATGTATCGGACTGTAACTTCATGGATTATGTTTTTAGCTTGTGAACATTGTAGAGGTCACAATTTTTATCCGATTTGGTTTAAACTTGAAATGTGTGTGGACCCTCTAGAGGCCACGATTTTGATTCAAATTTGATGGAACTTGAAACATATTTTTATGTCCCAAAGATTTTGGTTTCTTTCGCTATTCGCGCATATCAGATTGTAACTTCCTGGATTATGGCACCTAATTGTATGAAACATCACGTTTTTAGCTATTGGAGTCCAATAGCTAAAAACATGATTTTTTGTAAATCAAGGATCATTTTTGATAATGCACGAACACTTTGCAAAGTAAATTCATATTTCATGTTTTTTATTCATGGTAGGGTATTGTGAATTCAGTGTCTATACCACTTTGTCAGCATGGGGTACACAAAAAATTATATATTGAACTTAAAAATGAAATATTAGTAAGTCTTATGATAATTATTTATTAATTGAATATTCCCTTTTGGCTTTGACAACTTAAATAATTTAAATACCTGAATTGGCCGTAGGAAAACCATTCCAGTGGCTGACACGTAATTACCACGTGCTCTATAGAAAGCACACCGACCTGGATAATTAAGAGTTGTAATATAATAACATCGATATGAAGATAAACATATAATTATCGACGGCATATTTCTCACATTTATTGGTTTTAGACCATCTCTTACGGCATGACGGACCGCAGAATTGTGACGTAAATTTTAATAATGAATAACTAAATAACTAACGGATAACTAACTTCACAGCTAACGACACTAGCACCCCCTATAATATCGTCGTGTATAAGAGTTACCTAATATTCACAACATTTTTGTAACACATTGAATTATCATTATTGCCACACAATAGCACTGGAATATGTAATGTTCTTACTGTCTGAACCATCGTAGATTTTAAACAGATTTCTTCGATTGTGAAAAAACTACTTAAATGTTTGAAATCAACTCCCGTTTGATAAAATCCATTACACAACTAAATATCCCAACGAATAAAAAAGTTCTCTCTTGACAAATTTGACTATTTACTTGTAATTTCGACTGAGAGGAAGCATATGCTTTCGTTACATGTTGGGCTAAACCAATTCAGCTGTTGTGGGGGTAGTTTAATTTTGACAGATGGTTTGACAATCACGTGTTGCAATGAAAACAAAGCGCGATCATTACGATCGTTTGAGTTTGGGCGACGAAAAATATAACTGAAGGCAATTACATATTGAAACCATTGATCGCCAGTCTATCAAATTTTATTCATAACGAAAATATCACTGATTGCACTGATACTCGTAAAAATAAAGTCATATCTAAACTAAAAATATCCTATCTTCTTTATGTTATAAATAATTTAACAAGTATCATGAAGCTCACCTCCGAAGTCTCCGAGTGTATTGTTAATTTGATAGCATTCTTTCGATGAAATAATAACCGCTTCAATATTTTACAAGCGTGTTGCTTATAATACTATATCATATTAAAGATAATCTTAAGTAATATTTAAGGCCCGTGAAACGAATGTAATTGTTTTTGTGCCGCATGTGTGTTCAAAAGAAAATTATCCCATCCGAGTCGCTAATCAAATAATTATTAAAACAAAATATTCCAAAAGGTAAAGTTATAAAATTTGCAGAGATTTTACTAGAATGTAAAAAACGTTAACAAAATAAAAGAATATGGACAGTTATCTGTGTGAATGCCCAAAATTGAATTGTCGTAAAAGTGCCGAAAAACGTTTCTATTTGCTGTGCTGTCACCCCTTATACGAAATGATATCTCCTGAAGAGTGACGTAATCAGCTTCCATTATTGGTACTTTTCTGTATCGAAAATTTGTGGGAGTTCAATTTTTCAAGAGATAACTTTTTTATTTGTTGGGATAATTAGTTGTGCAATGGATTTTATTTAACAGGAGTTGATTTCAAACACACAGGTAAGTTTATAATAACCAAAGTTAAGTAGTTTGTTCATAATAAAATTTACGATGGTTCAGACAGTAATTTTTTGGTAAGCAAGTTAACCAATCTCTAGATTTTATTTCTACAATTTCCACAAGGCCGTAATACCACTATAAAAAAATTATAATGCATTTTTATACGCCCACATGGAAATGTGGTCATATATTGCCATCACCCCCATACGTCCGTCCATCGTCCACAATTTCTTGTGAACACTCTACAGACTACATTTATCATCTGATTGTTTTGAAATTGATATATGTTGTTTGCATTAGGGAGATGAAGAAGCCTATTTTATTTCATTATCTTCCATTAATTTCTTCTGGAGTTATGGCCCTTGTTTCACTTTGTTGCACCTTGTGGACGCTCTAACGACAAAAGTTATCAACCGATCTGTATGA